ATTTTGTATACTATTGTAAATATTATCTTTGAAAAATTCAACTGGAAATATTTGTTACTGGCATTGAGAAATCCAATTATTTTTTTTCATAACTTTAAAATGGTTTCTTAAACATATTCAGCATAACTATATCATATATTTCTAAATAGCTAGAAAACAAGATCTTGACCATAAGCATTACAAAGAAATGATAAATGCTCAGGGGATGGATATGCTATCTACCCTAAGTGAGTCATTGTACAATATACGCATGTAGTGAAACAATATATTGTACCCCACAAATATGTGCAATTAAATTTTAAAATAAAAAAAATTCAGCGTAAGAGATTACATTTAAAAGTTAAACTTGAGTTGAATTTGACTGACAAATAACTATAACAATTATAGGAAATTTTAAATGTTCATAACTATTCCTTTAAAAATCTATGCATTTTATAATATTTTATTTGCAAAACAATATAGAGTTTAAAAAAATAACTAACTAACTAAATAAATAAAATATTCTCAAGTAATTTTAACATGCAGCCCAGAACGAACAATCACTGATTTAGATCACAAGCTCTCAAACTTGTGGTCTTGGGAGCACTGGCATCCTGGGAACTTGTAAATGCAAGTTACTTGCTCCCATACCAGACCTACCAATTCAGGAACGCTGGTGGTGGGCCCGGCAATCTGTGTACTAACAAGCCCTCCAGGTGATTCTGGTGCAGCCTGAAGCTGGCAATCACTGCTACAGCGGTTTTGCAGAGCATCCTTAGAATGCCTTGATAGTCTCTGAGTTGGATGCAAAAACTGCTCCACACAGCTCAACAAAGACAGGATTTGTCAAGAAGAATTGCTGCTAAGAGAAGAGGTGGGTAGCTGGAGAGCAATTACATGACAACAGTTTTCTGTCTGTTTCCCAGTCTGGATCATTTAAGAAGGAAAAGCTTCTTATGGCCCTTGGTTATCATTCTTTTAAAAGATCTTACTTTTTAAAACTAGACTCTCTAGAGGGTTGCCCATTACTGAAATCCATTGCGTTGTTTAGACTACAGTGGAGTGATAGGAAGAGTGATCCAAATGAGTAATAGATTTTGTTGGGAGGTCTTGTTAGAGGTGGAACAGTTTGCTCTGGCCGGCTCATTCATCACTGTGCCTCATCTTGTTAGTTTGCTGAGGAGGCAGTCCGAATAAAATCCAGCTGGGTGAAACCCAACTGAGGCCAGCTCAAAGGGCCATAGGTAAGAGAGTTGGCTTTGGATCATGATGAATATAGGTAGAGAACTGGAAGAGAAAGGTAACCTCTCTATTGCTGGATCATGGACGGGGAATCCATGAAGAAGACTCAGGGCCTTGGATGGAAGCATAACACAGTGCTTGAGAATTTCTGAAGCTCAGCGGCTCAGCTCTACCTGGTCTATTCCCCTCCACTTTTGTAAAGACAGAGGGTCTTTTGGTGGGTCGATACAGTGTTTTCTTTGGAGAGATGGGGAAGCTTTCAGGAGGTTCAGACTCTCTAGGAGCACTGACTGTCTGAGCAATGAAAACTGTCTCATTCATTCTGAACTCTCTTTCACAGACATCCTCCCCCACCTCCTAAATGATGCTTTTACATATCTGCTTTTACAGATAATGAATGGCTGCCTGGATGGAGGGAGGAAAGTGATAAATGCAAGCTGAAATAATGGCAGTGAGGTTTTCACGGAGGTGTTTGCTGAGCGGGTGCAAACGCCATGAGTGAAGGAAGGACAGGTGCTTCTAGTAGAGAATACAGCATTAGGAATGAAGGAGACAGAAATGAGCATGGTGACATCTATGACACTGAGAAGTCTGTACCAACAGAAAGGAGGGTTTTAATTGGAGAAAAGAGGTCACAAATATGGACATAAAGGACTAGAGACATGAATGGAAGGCCTTGAGTATCAGACTCAGAGATTAGACATTATCTCACATGCAGCAAGGAGTTGGATATTTCTGAACTGGTGAGTGAGTGACACCATTCAGCCTATTATTAGATAGAGATTGAATTCCTCCTATTTGCAAGAACTTGTTGAAAAGATGATAGCGTGTTTTGGCAACATTAGTCTTGTGGTAATGTTCAGGATGAATAGGCAGAGGGTGGGGTTCATCAGAGAGATCAGAGCTGGGAGAATAATAATGAGACAAGACAAAATAATCTAAGGTTGAGAATACATGTGTTTAGATGACAATGACCTGGGAACAGGATGGTTGCAAGGGACTTTTCAATGGCAGAATTGTTGGTGTTGAAGAAGAGAGAAGAATTGAAGAAGGCAGCAAAGTACTAAGTCCAAATCACCCAAAGACGAGGTATGCACCTTGAGGAGTTCTAGTGTCCATGGGCTGTGATGCAGATGGCCTGACCATTGGTTAGTGAAGCCTGAAGAAGTGGTGACTGAAAGCTTCAACATTACATATGTCCACCTCTCTAACAGCAATTTTTGGAGCTATCTCAAATATTTTTCACCTTAAGAAAATAGGATTCATTTCATGAAAATATTATTAAAAAATCTTCCCCAAGCTCAGAAGCTATTTTGCAATTTTGAAAATTTCTCGAGGGCTAATCCTACTATTTGTTTTGTTTTTAAGAATGTGTACAAGGGTAAGATAAATCTAGAAGTTTTTGTTTGGTTTGGTTTTTAAATCTGGTGGCTCTCCCATAATTTTCAGGAGACAAGTTGAGTCCAATGTGTCCAGTCTGTCATTAAGAAATCCTCTTAATAGTAATTCATTTTTATACCTGACTTTGTATAAGTTTTAGTGAATATTTTAGAATGAGTGAAGGACTTTAAAACAATTTTTCCTGAGTTGATCTGACCAACGCAGTGTCTTGGTGGAGTCTTCTAAACTCAGGAATTGATGGTTATTGCCCAAATGAGACCTACCCTGTGGTTGTAGGAAGGTGCCTTTTTGAGGAGAATTTTTATTTCTCTTCCTTCAAATTAGATAGAAATCATTAGACACTAGGGAGTCGTAATAAAAGCATATATAACTTAATTGTCATTGGGATAATGTATCACTTGGGGTTTATTATTTCTACATTGTAATTTCTAATAAGCCTGATAACAAAATCTATATACAAAAATAATTGTGATTGATATATTTAATTTTAAGGAGATTCTTCATTTTATGTATGCATTATAGGATTGCTTTATCACTTGGGGTTTATTATTTCTACATTGTAATTTCTAATAAGCCTGATAACAAAATCTATGTACAAAAATAATTGTGATTGATATATTTAATTTTAAGGAGATTCTTCATTTTATGTATGCATTATAGGATTGCTTTCTCTTTAAGCTCTGGATTTCTCCAGTGCATGTAAATTAGACTCAATGCACAGAATGACTATTTTTCAAAACCCAGTCTGTGAAAACTTCAGGGAACTGAACCAAGTGTGGGATAGTTAAAAGGGATGGAGTTTAAAATACTGTATAACATAATCAAGGACACAGAGCGAATAAAAAAGAAAAAAACAGCAACAAGTGGCTGTGTTCTTTGCTCAGAGCACAGCAGCCTGAGGCAGCCAGACTACAATGAGAAGTGTCATCTTTGTGGAGGGGGTTGCTAACCTGGTAGCAGTTTCCTCCTGGCCATGGCAGCTGCCCGATGACTCTCATACTCCACAAAGGCAAAGCCCCGGTTTTTGGTTTTATCTGCAGCGCTAGGGTAGACAATGACGTCAACAACTCCTTCAGTGACCTTTCTCATTTCTGTTAAGATTTCTTCTCTTTTTTTGGCTTTTGGAATTCCCCCGACAAACAATCGGCAGTTGTCCACACTGGCACAAACCCCTAAGAGACGCCCATTTCTGCAAAAAGAGCAGGCATTTTGATTGGTGAGAATCCTCGTGTGGTTAAGGTTTAAGGTGGAGGTTGGAAATGTATGGCCAGATGTGGCCTGCAGATGTGGGATGTTTGGTCTTCATAGTGTTTAAGCCAGTTTTTGGAGAGTTGTGGGTTCTTTTGAGAGATCAAAGATGCATCAACGTATGTCCTACATTTTTAAAAAAATAACATAAAAATACACTTTTTAAAAAGAAGTAAAAAATAACT